CCTATTTATTTCAGAACCCCCTTCCCCTCCCCCTTTTCTGATGAAGGGTCTAGGCCCGAAACGTCAGCCTCTCTGCCCCTATGATGCTGCTTGGTCTGCTGTGTTCATCCAGCCCTGCACCTTGTTGTCTTGGATTCTCCAGCATCTGCAGTTCCTACTATCTCTGTTATATTTTAGTAATTAGTTTTAAAATTTGCTTGCCCTGTGTTAATATTTGCAGGGAATTTGACAGAGATTGATTAGACCTCTAGAACAGATACTAAGAAATTGTTAATTCTGTTAGTAACAAACAGGGTAGCTATTCAAATGGTGTATCAGGTCACCACAAAGAACTGGTAGAGAGATTTACTTCAAATTGACACTCAAACAAAGTTACTGACGTTTCCACATTTAACTGCACATGTGTAGACTCCAGAATGTTCAGAGGACTAAAGGCAGCAAACACTAACAGTTTCACTGTCATTAATGCTGCAAAGTACCAGCATTTGAGTATGTACACCAAAATGCTAAATGCACATTATGCCTAGCTTCATACATATTAAAATGAGTGTTACCAAATCAAATAAAATGTTTCACTCAGGACTAATTCAAATAAGATAGCAAAGCTTCTGAAGAAGATAGCAATATTTTTCTGCATATTAAACAACAGTGCAGAGTTAAACCTCATGGTTCAATAATAGGCAAGCTATTATTATCACTTTGAATATAATGCGAGGAGGAACAGTTAAAACTAGGAAACATTTTGGATTTCCTAATTCTGGAAGACATTTGATACTGGATACAAAATGAAGGCAATTATTTAAATTTAAAAACACAAGTTATTTCCGGTCTTTTTTTCCCCCTAATATTGTTTTTAAAATGTACCTTTCTGTTTCAGCATTTTGACACAAATTGTCAGAATATGGCATTGAGTGATTAAATTGTATGTTTTACAAATAGTTTTTGTTTTGATAACATTAGCTGATCACAACTGAAACATGAATAAACAGTTTCCATTGGGCAATTTCTCTGATACCAAGAGCAATCCTGTCAGGGCCAGGACATACACCCATTTATTTCAAACAGGATCAGGTGTGGGGAATATCACTGTTATTTCCTTGTTCTTATACTGAGCTACTGAGGACACTTGAAGAAACTTTATCGTGGCTTCACCTGAGATCAGCTAAACAGTTACAAAAAGAATCAGAAACTTGCAGCACCGAGAGATAGTAGGAACTGCAGATGCTGGAGAATCCGAGACAACAAGGTGCAGAGCTGGATGAACTGAGGGAGGCCCTTTAGCCCATTATATGTTTGATAGCAATTTGAGAGTAGAATGAGACAGCTTTCTAGTCCGTATGGTTCAGTTTATATTTTGCACTGTATTTTCTGTCTAAGCATTCAAGGGAGCTCTCCTCTGCCTCAGTGAATCACATGTATAGTTTTAAAGAAAACGTATAATTTTGCACAATTTTAAATTGTTTCAGGCTGTGAATGATCTTAACTTCATATAATCAGTAGATTAGTGACACAAAAGTTTGTATAGAGTGCAAATTGTAGCATAAATATCACAACATATGTAACCAATATTGCTCATATTCTGGGTGCAAAATTTATTTACCTAACAGCAATTAAAGGTAAAATTGTGTAATTAAAAATGGTGGACATCGAGATGGAACATGCCAAACTAATTTCTGTTCATGTGTTAGTCTTTAAAATATGAGGATTTACCTCATTGGGGTCATTTGAATTATTCTTATGTAATCTCAAGGTAATTAAAAACTTAGAACTTGGAACCTCATCAAAACTATGCTTATATAGAAGCAGTGGATTTCACTTTAGAAGAAAGAGCCTGTTTTAACCGTCTTCCAAGATCCTGCATATTCGGTGATTTTGGCCTGCCTAAAAGCAGACCTCTTCTCTTCTCTCCATTATTGTTTCCAATCATTTTGCAAACTTCTTGGCAAACTTGGTGGAAAGCATCATAGACCTCATTGTAATTTTCTCTGGCAGAAACTTCAAAATAAGTCCCTCCTATCTCGTTCACCAATTGAATGCCCTCACTGGTTTCCACTTGCCGTGCATGCGGTAAATCAGCCTTGTTTCCTATTAGCACGAATGGAAGTCTGGTGTTGGGATAAATCTTCCTGATTTGCTGATGGAGCGGACGGAGAGCTTTCCAGCTTTCTGTGTCCGTAAGTGAAAAGACAAAAACAAAACCATCTGCCCAGTGAAGTGAACGGGATATAACATCTGGACTGCAAGACTCATCTCCATCTGCCTGTTACATGAAAACAAAGATAACATTTAAACATTGCTTCTATTATTCTTGATTACCAAACTTCATGTTTTAATTCCTATGTCAAATCAAATCTGCACAACATATCTTTTCACCTACTTCTGCATTCAGTAAAAGTTTCAAAAGTGTTTTGTTTTATCCAAATGTAACCCTTTGGATACTGAGTTTATTTGTGCCTCTTGTGAAGTTTTGTACTATATCTGATTACAGAACAGTTAATTAGACAACAATGTATTATGAAATTGAGTTCTTATAATTTCTTTGGAACGTTATTTTATATTTCTTTATATAAATAAATTCTTTCTTTTCCTGAAAACACAGGCCTGGCCTAACATGTTTTCAAGCAAACCAGCTCTCCTGTGTCATGCCAATGAAATTTCAGCCCACATAGATGGTCACTACACCTCCCTTCAGATGTTGCTTAAACATTTTGGGCTGAATTTTGTGTCTGTCATTGTATTCAGGCTTGGTATATACTACAAAGTCTACACTGCCATTGGCATGGTATCAGTTATGTTCATGTCCATCAGAACCATCTATGATGCCTTGGGTGGACGCCCAGCCAACTGTTCTTCTTATTGATATTAGTGTAAGTTACTGATACCAAGTGGGAAAGGATGCCCTCACAAATGCTTCAGCAGGAGGGAGTTTCAATCTTGTCAACGAAATGCTTTTATTATATGGTTCTTAATAGCTAGTTATGTTAGTTATGTTGTATCTGAGCTATATTATTAGCTCTTGTGAGACATCAGGCTGAACACAGAGTAAGTACACAATACTGTTAGCAACATGGAATTTAGCACTGGGATAACAACTGGAACACCAGTCCGCTCATCACAGAAACAGTTCAATACATCCTGATGGATTGAGGTCATTTTATGATAATCTGTTCAGGTATTAATTGCCTTCTACAACAAGATTAACAGTGTTAATCATTATTATTAAATAAATCAGCCACCAACTTCTGAAGTACCAACTTGGGGTTCTGAGTTTCTCTTGTTCCTCCACATACTGCATTATAGCAGTACCTCACTGACAAACTCAGTATTTGGAATCAATGCAAATGCAAGACTTAGCTGCTCTTTACCTGTTACACATGAAGAAAAAGTTGAAGCTGATGTAAAACATGACCCCTGGGCCTTAGAATTTTATTTTACAAGTGTGGACTCTCATTCATTCAGAATATAATCAGCGTTGGAATTTTTTTAAAAACCTCTTTTTTGCCTGTCTCTTATCTCGTACTCTCATCATCCAATATTCGTTTGTTCTTTCTTCCTACAATTGTTTAAATCCAATTTATATTTCCTGATTTACACTTTCTCGTTTAGAGACTGCATGGCTCAGTGAGGATTTTTCAATCTGTTAAATTAAACATCCGCACTGTTTCTTGCCCTGTTCACACATGTCACACATGCTCTGTGAAGGATATTGCATTAGATAAAGTTAAAAATCACACGACACCAGATTACAGTCCAACAGGTTTATTCGAAATCACAAGCTTTTGGAGTGCAGCCCCTTCATCAGGTGTAGTGAGAGGAGAGCACACAAGCACAGAGTTTATAGGCAAAGAAACAAAGAGCAGAGAGATCAAAGGATCATACAAATGGTGTGAGAGGAGTGAACAAACCTAAAATGGCTGACTGACTGCCTCCTGTGGAGCCTTTAATCATTCATACATAGAGAGTGTGCGCGTATGAGTGAGAGAGAGCTTGTGTGTGTGTGTGTGCGCGAGAGAGAGCGTGTGCGCATGCGTATGCGCGAGAGAGCATGTGTGCATGTATATGGGTGAGAGAGAGCGGTGTACGTGCATGTGCGCGAGAGAGAGCATGTGCACAAGTGAGAGAGCATGTGTGTGTGCAATCGAGACAGTGTGCGCAAGTGAGTGCGCATATGCATGAGAGCGCATGAGCTTGACAGCACACGTGAAACTGCTCATGCGAAACTGCATATAATAAGTAATCCAAAACTGTACAAACTAATTAAGGTAGCGAGATCATAATTTATCTAGGTGATGTTGTCAAAACAGGACAGCCAGGAAGATTTTACAGATACAGAACAGTTTGGTAGGGTCACCTATAGTGCAACATGAACCCAAGATCACAGTTGAGGCCGTCTTCATGGGTACGGAGCTAGGCTATCAGTCTCTCCTCAACAATTCTGCATTGTTGTGTATCTCAAAGTCTGCCTTGGAGGGTACTTACCCCAACATTGCTGTGTATGTGGTGTATTGCTGTTCCCACATGTGACGGTAGTATCCATGTTGATGATCTGACATGTCTTGCAGCGGTTGCCGTGACAGGGTTGTGTGGTGTTGCGGTCGATGTTGTCCTGAAGGCTGGGTAGTTCGCTGCGAACAATGGTCTGTTTAAGGTTTGGTGGTTGTTTGAAGGTGAGAAATGAAGGCGTAACGAAGATATTGGCAAGGTGCTCATCATCATTGATGGCATGTTGAAGGCTGTGAAGAACATGGCGTAGTTTCTCCACTCCTGGGAAGTACTGGATGACGAAGGGTACTCTATCAGTCGTATCCTGTGTCTGTCTTCTGAGGAGGTCATTGCAGTTTTTCACTGTGGAACTGGCGATCGATGAGTTAAGCATCATATCCAACTCTTATGACATCCTTTGATCTCTCTGCCCTTCATCTCTCTCTGCCTATAAACTCTGTGTTTGTGTGCTCTCCTCTAACTGCACCTAACAAAGGGGCTGTGCTTCAAAGCTTGTGATTTCAAATAAACCTGTCAGGCTATAACCTGATGTCATGTGATTTTTGACTTTATCCACCACAGTCCAACACCAGCACCTCCACATCACTGCACCAGATGACAGCAAGTCTCAGCTCAAACATTGGTGAAAACTGTGAGCAGCCATTAGTGAAGAACATAGTGAGTGTTATTCCTTTGCCACTTCTTGCAAAATCCAATTCATGCTCAATTAAGAAAGAGTATCAGTTTTCTTACACCCCAAGCAAAACCAAACTTTAGCAAACTCTTTTGGGTTAGAAACTTGACCCTGATATGTATATAAATTGTTAGCAATAAAGGTTCAGTTTCAGTAGGATTACTATGAGCCCATGAACCCTGACAAACTTCCAAACTGAAACTGGCCGAGGACATATCTCAGTGGCAGTGCTTAAAAGAACTGTGGATATTGGAAATCAGGAACACAAACAGAAATTGCTGGAAAAACTCAGCAGGTCTGGCAGCATCTGTGGAGAGAAAGCAGAGTTAACATTTTGGGTCCAGTGACCCTTCTTCAGAACTCCCTGAATGTGCCTGTCATGGGGTGCACTGGCTTTTTCAGAATTGAATTCAGACTGGAAAGTAACTTCCATTAAAAAAAAGAGCTTAAGCTTTTATTTTAGAATGCTGCTGGTATCATTGGCTCTCTTCTTGCTGTCCTATTATTGACCTCAGTTCTGGGACTTACTTCAGAGCCACTGTTGGCAACGTATTGGGTCTGAAATCTTCTAGTTCTATTGGGTAAACTTGCTATGAAGCTGTGCCAGCTGTCAGCAGCTTGCTTCAATTATTTAGATAAGGCAATGTGAACGTACTTTTCATAATCCTCTGGCTTCCACCTTCAAAGAATTTCTGTGCCCATTCAGCATCTGAAAAATAGCCCAAATGATCTTCCAGGTCTTTTAATGAAGATGATGAATGCTTACAGAGAGGACAGAGCAAAATGAGTGTGTCTTTGGGAGAAGTTGTTTTCATTTGCCAAAGATTCAGTTTTATTAAATACCAGTTGTATTGGCTGTTCATTACGCAACACGTACCTGCTTCTACTTTCCTCTTCAACATTTCTCCCAGTCTACAAGATTACATTTATTTTATCCAATTTAGAAAAATCAAATGCTGAATGGACCACATTGGGATTCAAATTGGTTCTGATACCAATGCTCTGATTGGACTATCATAATATGTTGTTAAATGTTGCTATACCCTAGCAGGCCATCACAACACACCACATCATCAACCATCGGGTATCTGCTATAAAATCAGATACTATGTAAACAAAAGGAGAATGTGCCATGCACTCATGATTCACAAAGAGAAATTCACATGCTACTATCCTGCAGATCTTCAACCTTGTTAAGATTTTAAGCTTTTTTTAAATCTTGGGATTGATATTTGGGGTCATTGAGATTCAATGTTTCAGCATCTACAGATCATCTTCTTCATGACTGTCAACATATGCTATTGTGATCTGTGAGATTTTCCCTGGTTGCCACTTCTGTCACCTTGTGGTATCTGCCTCCAATTTCCTTTGTCTATACTGTGCCTAAGGCCTGTCCAATGATCAGTGGTGAGGCTAAACAAAGAGAGGCAGCTATTGCATGTATTTTAATCTATTACCTCCTCAATTCTAGAATTAATAGATTTTAAGGGGTTTGCAACAAGGATATAACCAAAACTCTAGTCAATAAGCGACCTTAATGCTGACAGCACAATCAGCTGATGAGAGGAAACAAAATGGGTTCACAGAAAATTTACAGGTATTAATTTCAGATTGAACCTAATACTATTTTATTTTTACATAATCGAGTTAACTACAATAGGTTTGAGATGGTTACTCTGCTGGTACATTTGCACTCTGGTGTTTAAACAACTGGTTATGAGTATACCATCGTAAGACAACATACCAATTTGAATAAGAAGTACAAATATGAATGGAATCAATAACTAAAAATTAAAGCTAACATGAAATTGAAAATGAATTGCTAAAGCAAACTAAGAAGTGATGGTAGCCTTTTGGCCATTTTTCCCCTTCCTCTTGAAAACGCCAACTCTTTCTAATATGTGGTCCATAGGTGCCGGGGTTGGTTAACTTGGATGGCTGGCTTGTAATGAAGAGTGATGCTAATAGAGTGCGTTCAAGTCCCACGCCAGTTGACATTACTATAAAGGACACTCCATCTCAACATCTCCCCTCACCTGAGTCTCAGGTTAAAACCACTACCTCTCTCTTTCTAATGATAGAAT